CTCTTTTCATGTGTGCAGCATGGAATCAGTTACTCCAATTTAAGTTGGCACCTCATTATGCAAAGTGCTCTGCCCAAGTGCATGATAGACATTCCCTCAGCTGGAGACTTTGCTGTCTAAATAAGTAGCAGGCAAGGCAGGAGAAAGGCTGGGGAGCTGTCAGGGGTATTTTTCCTGACTTTGCAGGGTGGTAGCTGAGGAAATTGATATGCTTATTCAGTCTCACAAGAAAAAGGTGGCAGTTACAGGATTTGAATTTGGATCTTTCACTCTCCATTCTTGTCTGGGAAGGTTTTGTGTTTCACCTCCTTGCTGAGAAGACCTGATAGGTATCCATTAGAATTTGTTTCTAGGAGTCAGTTATGAACCCCTTTTAGTAATTTCAAATGAAAGTTGGGATGCAAAGTCTTCCCTTTATGTATAAGTTTCCTTAAAGTCCACCAGAACTTTACTCTCAGTGTGTACCGTACCCGGCTTGAAAAAGTAAAAAAATCAGTGACTGGCTGGGTTGCAAATGAAGCTCTCCTATTCTTAGCAGTATTACTGTGACTTAGTTTGTTTTCTTACCAAAACAAATCGAGAAAACCAGCACACGATCACAGAGCTAAGACAGTGTTGGCAGAACAGAAAAAGCTTTGCCCCTGTACCAGATGGCATAAAATGCTGAGTACCCTTTAAATTACTGAAAACTGGTGCAATTTGATATATAACTGTGCTTGGCCACAGTCACTCCAAGCTTTGGGTTCCACCTCATGGGGTTTAGGCTCTTCAAACCCTATAAAGTGGTTAAGATTTTCAGCAGGGCTTGAAGAAGCATTTGTCTGCAATAATGCCAAAAAGGTAGTAAGGCCTTATTTTACATTGCAGATGAGTTACTCAAGTCATAAGTGAAATCAGAAGCATATTTCACTGCCTGTCTGCTTTGTGCTGTACTGTTTTATTTTTATGCTTCCCAATAAAATAGAGGGCACACTTCTGAGCCTTATAGTCTATAACTACAGATATGCCAGTCTAAGTAAAGATAATTTAAGTAACTCTGCACACACAATACCATTGACCCCAGGTATAAAATATATTTACTGAGGAATTAAGGTAGCTATTGGCCAACTCCTTTACCTTTTCTGTATGCACATATGGGATGTGTATGGAATTTGAATTTTTTACATTTGAAGGGGAATAGTCTTTCCACTTCACTTCCTTAGTAGTATAGTTACTTAGTCACAGCATTTACAATAAATTAGGATTTTGATAATGAGAATGTAGCTACTGGGAAGATGATTTTCTAAAGAAGTTTTGTTTAGCTGGTGATCCATCACCTTCCCTAGAAAGTGACAGTAACTGTGAACCCGACAAAAATTTGGGCTGAACAATTTTCTTCACTTCTACCTTCACTCACACAACTCATTAAACTAGTTAAACAACTCTTAAAATGGGTTTATGAAACTGTAGCAGTACTTTATATTTCTTTTTTTGGGGGAGTAGGTAGTGTATACAGCACAGTGTTGTATTGTGTAGAGTCTGCTGTCAGCATAGCAGACTATTTTGGATAGCATGGACCTTCTAAACTCATCTACTGTCCTCCTTGAATTAAATGAGTTTAGTCTTGGGAGCAGAGTAGGATCGTTGGTGCAGCACTGACTCTGACTAGGCTGTTTGAATTAGCCCATTTTGCACTTGCATCAGGTTCTCTGTAAGCATCTGGTTTTAGAATTTGCATTTATTCAACTCTTCTGTAAGTTCCCCATCATTTTAGGAATTAAGATGTTTATAAATTTGTTGAAAGAATGCAACATTTCTCCAGTAGCTTGTCTTTCTTTTAGATTTTTGTTAACCATTATTTGTCTTTTATTCCTCCTCATATATTAAAGTCTCTATTATTTGTCTGGATCAGGAACACTCTCTGAGTGTGAGTGAGGTGTTGATCTTTATCTTTTAGTTGATTATCTGTTCCCCTTCTGATTCATCTTTCAAATGGGTTTTACTTGTCACACACATCATTTTTTCAAACAAGTATCTGCCCCTTTGAATGTTGCTTAAGTTACAACAAAAAAATCAGAAAACTTTGGGAATTACCACTGCTTTTTTCTTCTCTCACCTGCTTGTAAGTCATGTTGGGAGAAAGTAAATTAGATGCTTGTAGTAAACAATAATATTTATGTATATATATGTAGGAATTAGGCTGTTTTAAGTCCAGTCCCCAAATACTGATCAATGATTCATAGAGTAAAACATAATTTTAACGGTTTTTTACATTTTTTGGATGCATGTTTAAGGGAAGTGAGACACAAAAAATTATTAAATAGAACCATTTCCTGATTGGAAAGGTTGGCATGCACAACTGTTAAATGCTTCTTCATTCTCATGGAACTCTAATTTGATAATTTAGAGGGGGAGGGGAGTTCAGACCACCAGAGGACACTAGAATTTTACAGAGAGTTTCTGCAGGACTACCATGCACGTAAAAATGCTGTATGGTGTCTTTTTAGGAATGCTTTCCCCTCTGTGTGGCTGCAGAGTTGGTAACACAGAGCTAGTGGTCAGTCAGGTTTCAGCATTGCATTAAACTAAGCAAATAATAAATTTATTTCATTCTTCTATTCATTGTCTTGCCCTATAATTCCTGAAGCTAAAATACTGTACCATTCAAATGCTGGACTAAAGTCATACTGATATATATAAAACCAGCACCTATATATGTTGTAGGTTGCTAAGGTCAGGTATTTTCCCCTACTTGTTTTTTTCCTTTCCTTTGTCACCTGCTGAAAACTTGCTTAGATAAAACTCATCAAAGCTCTTCAGGCCTTCTACAGTAATTCTTTCAATTGCTGGCTTATGTGCTTTGGTGAATTGAGGCTGGTGTGAGTAGTGAAGCCAGTGATCAGGCATGTGTGGCTCTGCAGTCTGCAGAAGGAAAAGTCTCAGTCAGAAGTAGGAATGATTGAGAGGAATTGGATGTGGATAGCGAAAATCCTCTCAAATAATTCTGGAACTGATTGGGTGGAAGAGCTGTGTAGAAGAAAGGGTTTGTAAAGTGTCCTTTGTGGATTTTATGTTCTTATTGAGACATTTATCGTTTGGTATCTCCATTTTGCTTGTAATAAGCAGCAGACATGGAGGTTGGAATTTTTTTTTTTCCTTAGTTAATCTGTATTTTTTTCCTCTTCAGCTTTGCATTTCCTTAAATTTGGGACGGGATTATTGTTGTTTAACTTCAGATATCTTAAAATTAGATATCTAAGCTTAAGCTGGTCACCCTAATTTCTTTTCATGATTAGGAGAAGGAAACATTTGCCATCTCAGGGACAGTCATTGCCTTTTAAGATTAGCAACTAATATGAGTCAGGTAATTGCCCTCTGGGCTTGCCTGTTTCTCATTACAGACTATTGTCAGCTCAGGGTGCCTAAAATGAAATTATTTGAATGCCCTTGAGAAAATTTGGCAATACTACATCACTCAAGGGTCCTTGCTGCCCTTCCCTCCCACTCTCTACATCCACTGACACAGCACTGATCTTCTCTGTCTGTTTGCCTATATGTGTCTGTAAATATAGGTAAGGAGTCTAATTTTAAAATAGATTTTCAATGGATTAGCCCAATTTCCTAGAGGAACACCTGATAATTTCTTAGACTTAGGGGTACTGTAAAGGAGAACCTGGAAGAAAGACTCTGTATAAGGGGCTCAGCTGATTGCTCTTTCCCTTGGTCTCAGTGGATTGCAACACACTGATTTCAGCTCCTGCTTCTCTGCTGCTGCAGGAGTACAGTTAAGATCAAGCTGTTTCCTCCTTGATCTGTCTTGTGTTTAATCATAGAAGTATTTTGTTATGAAGAATGTTCACTACAGAATTACAAAGTTATTCGCTGAATCCGGATATCAGATAACTGACTCTGGGTGTCTGATCGTGAGCTAAAGCTCAGACTTGTAATAGCTTAGCAGGTTAAACAGGAAATCAATACTAGAGAGACTTTGGTGATATTTTGAAAGCATCTTCATAATATAGGAGTCATAAGGAAGACTGGTAGAGTCATAGAGGTTTTTTTAATTCGCTAATAAAGCTTCCCTTCCTTTCATGTGTGAGTTTAGCGCAGGTTGATACTCGCGTCTTTATGTGCTTTCTTACAACTCTGTGGATAATTTCCATTCGTTGTTTTCCCAGATTTACATCTGAGCATCGATTCTGGGCACCCAGTGAAGTAGAGGAAGAGGTGGAAAATAAAGAACTAACGGAAATGTTAAAAACTAGATATATAACATTCGCTGGCAAGTTTGAGCCGGTGAAACACAAGTGTCGGGCACCAATGCCTGATGGGAGTCTGTGTGAAAGGCAGGATCGGATTAAGGTAGGCATTGAGTTACAAAACTTCCAAGATCTGTGCTATCTGAAGGAGATCTCCTTAAAACATACACATAAAAGTTAATTTCACATTGTAAATACAGCTCAAGGGAGTGGAAGAACATTGTGTCTGGAGAAGTTCATTGTTAATGTTTGCTTCTTATGGGAAACAGCCTTTTGGTAAAGAAGCTGTAAACATTTAAAGAACTCTTAAATTTTTTTGGCATTCATTATAGGTTATTTATATTTTATTTATTACTGTGATGTGTGAGTACCTGGCAGTAAGGCAGAAATATTTTTTTTTTTTTTCTGAAAATTTTTCTTCATTTAGGGGCATATTTGATATTACTGGTTTTGGAAACTTTTGAGAGGCAAAGAAATTTTATTTCCAAATTGAGTTTTATGAAAGGTAAATTCTACACAGCCTCAAAATTTCGAGTTTTGTTGAGCAGAACTACTTTGCTTAAATACTTCTAGTATCCCTGCTTTTCCTGTATTATCTGAGATTGAAGGATCTGAATGCACTGAAATAATTTAAATGGGATTAGCCTAAACGATGCATCATTGGTGCCCTAGTTCCAGACTTGACAGGATGTGCTACCTGGTCTCTTGAAAGTGGATATTTATATGAAAAAGAGCTAATTTCTTTAAGATTCTGAACATATTAAACACATGATGTTTATGGGATTCTGATGTTTCTAAGGGGGACTGGGAATCAAGCGTAGTTTTGTTGCTCAACTCCAGTGTCCAGCTTTATGTTGTGTTGAATAAAATGTAAGCATTTTCTTTTCATTCAAAAGTCTTGTTATTGGTTTTTTTTTTTCTTCTTTCTCAAGTGCCCTTTCCATGGAAAGATAATTCCTCGGGATGACTCTGGGGTTCCTGTGAATGCAGAGGACAGAGCCAGAGAAGAAAAGATGAGGTTTGAGAAGCAAGCAGCCCAGCCAGGTCTGTGTCCTGCATGTCATCTTAAAGAACAATAAAATTTTAAAAAAGTATTAGGCAGAGGTGGGAGATACCTGCTACCTGTTCCACTCCTAACCACGTTATCCCATTTACATTCCAGGTGATTTTAATTTGCAGCTCATTTGCAGTGGTATTTGCTCATATGATAAGTATGGATGCATGTGTACACAGAATAAGGTTAACATTGCATTTGTGCTTTATTTCCAGTAGTTACTGTAATGTTCCCAACACTGCTCACCCAGAGAAGTTATAGCCTTTGTCTTTAAGGAACATGTTTATCAAGGATGATTAAACCTATTCCCTGGGAGATGCCTGACAGTAACTGTTCCATGCTTCTGAGAAGAAGTCACCTGATGTTGCTGCTCCCTAGCAGTGGTGATTTATGCAATATAATGATGATTTTATTGGGATCATTGTGTTCCCACGAATACTGGGAGAGGTATATGTTTTGTCACAATGCAGGAACTTGTTTTTGCTTTATTTGTTCATATCTCTCATAGTCTATTTTTCCCATACCTACTGACTTACCACTTGTGTTTTAGAAGGAGAATTTTTGGCCTTGTTATGCTGTGCATCTGTGCAGCATTGCTAGAAAATCCTCTGAGCTAGAGAAGTGCTCACCTTGGCCATTGAATTATTGGCACTATAACCATTCTGAAGTTCTGAAAGGGATGTTTGTGATGGGCTTGAGGAAGGCAGCAAGCAGAGCTGTGCTGTCTGATTGTTTACATGTTACTGTGCAATACTCTGGGTTTTGATTTTAACCAACTGGGGATGGGCAAGAAAATTAATGGCCTTCTCCTTGCATCTTGCCTGCAGCTTTCAGGCATAGAGGGAAAGGCTCATCCTTCCCCAGGGTTATTATTTGGGCATTTTTAGGCAGGGTGCAGCTCTGGACTGCTAGGTAAGGAGTGCAGGGAATTAGAAAAACAGCAGGCAGTGAGTAGCTGGGCAGGAGGACTTCCAAGGAGAACAAGAGACTTTCTTGCAATAGTACAACTAAACCTCATTAATGATAGACAGAAGATACCTGGGGGACTGCAACCAGGAAGGCACTGGAAGTTGATAGACTGCAAAGGAAGACAGGAGAGAGGGATCTGTCCAGCAGAGACACAGAGTATAATTGGAGGGGACAGATCTGTTTTCAAAGCTTTTCTTTAATCTTCCTTCTTCCAGCAGGACTTACTTTTCTCTGTTATAAGCTATTTATTCGAGGTAAGTATTCTGCATTCTAATTAAACTCACCCGTGGGCATTAGCATTTTGATTTCTTACAGAATACTCCCTTGAAGGAGTTAGTTCTCACTTAAGAGAGAGTGTTTCAGCACCACACCAGTGCAGGAGCTACTGAACACCACCTGGTATCTGCAGGTGTCAAAATGCTGCTTTTGCAGGTAGTTTCCATCCCTGTCCAGGTGGAGTAAGTGTTTTAAACTGGCACCCAGCCAACAGCATGGACACTGTTGGACTGTCACAGCGAAACCAGGGCAGGAGTGTGGATATTGTGTTGAAAAGGAAAGTTCCCAGCTTAGTTATGACAGACCAAAACTAGCAAGTTAAACTAGTAGGTGTACGTGGGATCTCGAACTAGAAACTAATACTCTGGTATAAAAACCACTTGCACTGAAAAATATTGATTCTTTTTTTCCCTGTGAAATTGCCATTGCTTAAGGCTAGACACAGTATTTATTTTTATTACAGTGTCAGCTCGGTGTTGTTAGAGGCTTCTCACCTCTGGCCCACAAGGATGTGTATGTTAGTCCCAAACCAGTGTTGGCATTGCATTATTGAGTGTGGTTGTTAAGCTGAGATGTCACACAAAGGTCCATCCCATCTGGCTGGGGAAATACTGCACAAGCTGTGGCACTTAATTTACTAGACTGGACAAAACCTTCCAGGTTTCTAAAGCCACACGTATACCAGATGTCACTAAATATTTTTATTTTTGTTGCTTTTTGTTGCTTTCTTTTTTCCCTGTGCCTTGCTGTTTTTATATTTGCTTTATAATATTTTCATCGACCTTTGAAAATGTTTTTTTTTTTTCTTTGCTTGGGGCATGTGGTTTAGAGGGGTGTGTTTGGTTGGTTTGCTCTGATGTTTGGGTTTTGGGGTTCAGGGGTTTTTTTGTTAGAAAGATCTTGAGCAGTGTTGCCATGAAAAATATGCAAGCGTACAGTTAGTCCTTACAATTGACAACAACATTTATTAATGATGACAGTTTGAAAAATGTTTAAAAACAATAAAATTTGGGGATCAATTGTGGAGGTAAATTGCACCAAAATTCTTCCTATATCTCTTCCCTCCTGGGTGGTAGGTTTATTTTTATCTTCGTGTCATTAAAAGGGGGAAACACTTACATAAAAGCAACGCAGTTTGTGTGAGAATGACTGTGTTTTGACAACACTGTCGTTGCTATTATGGAGCATTTTTTTATCTCAGTGTAAAATTTTAAACTCGAGCTGATGTCCACAAAATGGTGCTTTGGGCTCTGCAGTCCTGAAACAGCGAACCAGGTGGGATTACGCTGACCCGCTAATCTGCAGCGTTCATCCTTTTCCAATAGTTCGCACACAGGAGCAAATTAAGTGCCTATTTTTTGTGTCAGCCCTGAAGAGTATCTGGTTTTTCAGCCCTTAGTGACTTGTTAACAAACAGGTATCAGGACAGGCTGGTGCAGGCAGGCCGCTGGCCACTCAGATGTGAAATAGCATCTCTTTACTAACTACAGTATTGATTCCCGCCTACCCTTGCAAACTGTGTAATTTTCTTTTCCCTGCTGCTAAACTCAGTAACAATGTATGAAGAGCTTTAGGGGCCCATCAATGCTCAAAAAGCCTGCTCTTCCCTGGCATTCTATTGATTTTTCTCAAAAGCTTTTAAATTGCTCCTTCATTTTACTCAAATGCTCATTTCATCTCTACTGGATGCCGGCATTTTTTCGTTGTGTTTAAACAATTGCTCCATTCACGGGGTTCCTAAACTGTGACGCCTTCTTATTACTGGGAGATAAACTGTTTAGACAGTTTTCCTTAATCTTGGATTAATCGTTCCTGTATCTGAACTGTGCTGCTCTGTATTCCTTCACTTCAGAAAAAAAAAAAGAAAAAAAAAAGTCTGTGAGGTCTTATGATCTATCAAGTTTACGTATTCTGTTTTCTCCCTTTTTGCCTCTCCTGCTCAGCTCTTGGAACAGCTTCGTTTTCCTCGTGCTTTTTGGTGTGTTGGATTTTAATCAGTCCTCGCTTTCATGTGTCATAGTAGGTTAAATCTAACTTTTCCTTGGAAAATTGCTCTGGTATTCCTTAACACCGTGTTCTTAAGTGAGAACATTGCCTCTGGCCTTCCTGAAATGTTGTTACTGGGATTTGTCACACTCAGCGAACATCTTGGTGTATAAAAGAAATTGTATAGTCCTTTAGGACTGTTTATTTGTCTATATTTAACATCTACAGTGATGTTAAATAAAGGTAGTAGACTTTTTGTTTTACAGTTTCTGGAGTCTGACAGATGTGCAGGAAACTGTGATGAATGACTGGCAATTCCTGTTGTTAAAATACAGATTATGCTGAGTTTGGACCATGTTCTCTTTGAAGTGGTGCTTCCAAATTTTTTTCCCACCCATATACTCAAAATCTTTATAATTCAATGCCATTTTCCTGCATTTCCCTTTCGCAGATGTCCATCCTCCAGCCACATTTTTACTTTATTACCTTGTTCTGATGCACAAGACACTACACTAAGGGTGAAAGACCACGGCTTCCTCAAAGAGTTTACAGTCTAAATTAAATTGTTCATGCTTTTTCCCGTGGTGGCATCTAGGATCAGAGTCCATTTACAGTGTGTAGCTGGATCCTGAAGCATTAAGTTTTTAATAAAACTGTAAAACAGGTTTTGATCAGATAAATTAACTTGTGCCGTTGTCAAGAGAAGAAACATGATTTAGATAATTAAACTGAGGAAACGTGGGATGCTTAGAAAGTAGGGTCTTTTTAGATGCAAAATGGGGCTCATGGAAACGGGGTTGTGTTGTCCTATTCAAGAATTTTATTCCAGATCATATTTTAAAGAAAATATTATTAATGCAAAAAAAGTCACAATGTTGTCACCCCTCCTCTGCTCAAAAGTTGACATATTTCATTTTTTTAGGTTTATTTTTAGGCTTATTCAGAATTTATTTCTGGAGATAAGTTCCTCAGCTACATCACTGACATTTTCAATTTCTGAATAATAATCACTCTGTTTATGTCACCTCTCCTACATGGAATGTTTTCCTTGGAATTTTGCTACTACACAACTGGTAAAACTTGATTTAAGTTTTCCTACAGAACAGTTTAACCTACAACAGCCAATAATAGATACCAACCCCAGACTGGCAGGGCTTTTTCATCAGGATCTGTCATTTTGGCCAACTCCTTTATCCTCCCCTTACCTTGTGTGTGTAACTTAGAGCACAGTCACTCTGCCCTCACACAGTGGTGACAAGAACCTGTTCCTTAGGAACTGCAAATCCTCCCAGAGTTTGTTGTTTCAAAGCCCATACTTTGTCTTTTAAACAGAGTGGAGAGATCCAGAATTCATGAGGGAAGTTGAAGCTGCTACAGGACTGGATCTTGGTTCCTCTAAAAATAATGGAAAAGGCCAGAAGAAACAAGGGAAGAAGAAAAAATACCCAAATCTGACAGACCTGAAGCAACAGGCGAACACTTCCCGATCCCGGCTTGAGAAGAAAGTCTTCAATAAGTAAGATTGCTTGTGTTCTCTGAAACCTGTTAAATTACTGTTTCTGTTTGTTTCAACAGTATTTTCTGTTTCTGCATTAACATGCACTTACTAAACAGCTTTCTTGTCTGACTGCAGAGCAGGAGTGTCTTCCATATGTCTGGGGAATAAAGAATAGCAGGTACTAATGACTAAAAGAGAAGCCATTTCTTTGAGAATGGTTTGCAGCTAATTTACAAAATTTCACTGTGGAAGACTTTTTTCATCCTTTCTCAAATTTTTTTAAATCCTTTAATGGCTGGGTTGGCTGCTCTGGATGATCATTTATTAATCAAATGGATGCTACTTTATGTGTGCAAACAGTACTGGAGCTGGAAAGAAGATGATGTGTTTAGAGTGACACAACTTACAGCATCAGACATGCTGTGGTGGTGTAGGTGGAGGGAAAATGAAGTTTTGCCTTTTGAAAGCCCAAGATGGACTGACCTCAGCAGAACTTCAGTTAATAAAAGAATCCATCAAAACCCCTTGGCTTTTGGTGTGTAGCAGTGTCTTGGCAGTTGCCCTCGAGTCTCTGGTGTGTGCTCAGAGACTTCCCAAAGTTTTAAGTACTGCTGGACTTCCTTTCTCCCACTCCTGGCTATGCTGAATGGCCAGCTGGGCCTCGTGCAGAACCTTCCAGTGCAGTGGGGACACACAGGGATCTGTCCTGTGTGTTATTCAGTGTCACATTGCCATTGCACTTTACTCCTTCCTTATTGAGAAGAGTTTGGAGATGATTATTCCCTGAACCAGAAACTTGTGGGCACAGTATCATGCCCTCCATGGTGCTGTCTCTGTACATGACCCTTTCCCCCCAGCACATGTGCAGACAGTTGCTCTTGGCCTGCATTGAGCTTGAGAAGAAACTGTTTGCATGGGCTTGGCATTCAGACGTGTCGAACCAAGGTGTGTCCACGACTTACACAGACACAGATGAGTCCATTTTACAGCAGGCAGGTGGATGTGGAGCCAACCAACCATCACTAAACAGGCTTTAGAGAGTACAGTAGCTCCATGTGTCTGCTCTGTTGTGCCATTTCTGATATCTGTTCTTGCTCAGATATGGCTGCAACATAAATTTTCCTGAGCAAGCTCTGGTCTTTATCAGATGGGAAGGAGCTGCAACTTTTTTTAAGAGTTTCACATGTCAAAAATGAAGTAGTCAGAGGATAGTGAAAAGTTGTCAAATCAAAAGAGCAAAATTAGTATTACAAAATCATGAATGGTGGGTTATTCCCTAAACATACTGGGTGAGTTGAACAGCATCCAAGGCACAATATTTGTTTAAAATCTTTTATTTTCCCTTTTCTGATGTAATGGTTATAATAACAAGGCCAAATCCACATTGCTTTCAGTTCTGGAAATGCCACATTTTCTGTGAAATTCTCATGTCACCTGGTCTTAGAACTCAGAGGCCTACAGTTCTAATGATCAGAATTCCATATCGTGGTTTACTGTGGCTTGTGCTAATGATTTTGAGTGTGTGTTAGTGCCAGGCATAGGGAATCAAACCTGTCATGTTTTTAATAGGTTTCATGCTTTGCAGCACTAAACAAGATGATAACCTTGGCTCCTTAGAACAACCCCAAATTACTTGAAATGTATAGGTGATAAACCCAGGCTCCAGTCTGCCAATAAAGCTAAGTGAAATTGCACACAGATCATCAAAGTGGGATCTCATTTCATTTACAGTATCGCACAATCCAGTGGTGCTAACGTAAAACCTACCTGACATGAGAGTGTCAAGGCCACCCTGCACTGCTAAAGGCTCACTTTTCTCCTACCAATTAGGTAATATTTGAAGTGCAAAACCATGACCACATTTTCCTTACTCTGGTAACTTTAATTGGCAGGATTTTGTTAAAAGTATACCTCTCCTGAGGTGTTTTTTTCAGAATGTTGGTTTTCATTGCAGCTGCTGCTGGGAAAAATCTTTAATCCCACCATTTAGTGTGTTATTAAGAAGAAACCTCTGTCGTCAGATGTTTCAAAAATGGCTTTTGAAATGAAGTCGTTACAGAGAGCAGTTGGCCAAAACTGAAATCAGCTTCTCTTGGAGATAACCATGGGAGCAGAGCTGGAATAGCCTGGAGGATCCTGGAGGATCCTGAAAAGGGCTGGGGCACACTACCAGCTGCACATCTTGTCTTCCTTTTACTGCACAGATTGCAGTGTCCTCAGAAGTGATAAAGGCAGACTGTGACAACGTAGAGTCTGGCAGCACTGGACTTGCAACCATCCTCTTTGTGTGATGGAACTTGCCAACTGCATTTCTGGTGTAGGAATCCAAGGAGACATTGGGCCCTGCCACGTTCTTCAGTGGGACAGAGTCCCTCAAACCAAGCCCGTGGCTGCTCTACCTCCCACGTCTGCAGAGCGTCCAGGTCTTTACCTGGAAATGTGTTAGGAGATAAATTCCTGGAGATAAATTCCTTCATAAATAGAGGCAGGGTGATATCTGAGCACACCTGCAAATATCAGCCTCAGATTGCTGAGGTTTTGTTCCAGAGGCAACTACAGTCACCAGTAAAAAGAATCCAGGCAAGAACAAGGCGAGATGTACTCAGCTGTGTACAACAGCTGCTCAGAGTTTCTGAGGGGGCAGATGTTCACAACAGAGCATTCTCTTGACTGCTTCTGCTGCCTTTTTTTTTCTGCTGTCTTACTCCTCTGGATTTGTGAACCCATTCCTCTACCTTACCAGTTAGAGGACATACAGACCTGCTCTCTCTGTGCATTTTATGACAATCTTCTATTCATGCTGTCTAGACATCATTTTTCCTCACCCTCAAAATCTCAGCTGTGTAATCTCCACTCAAAGGTTTGTGGAGGGGAAAAAAATGAAGTTTCCCCATTTACCCAGTTGAGAAGTAGAGCAATCCCTCCCAAAAGAAATCTCTGGGCACCACCTTTACCAGGAGGAAACAATGTCAGCAAATAGAGCAGCAACAAGGGGGCAAGCCCTCCCTGATTTTAGGAGCACCAGAAAGCATAACCACTCCAAAGTTCATTCCTTCATTTCCTTTTTTTAGTCTGAAGAACATTCCAGAGCCTTCTTCAAGCACAGCAGGCACTGCAGAGGGCTTGAATGCTTGCCCATCCTGAGGCAGCAGAGATCCCATTCCCACTTTATATAAGATGTTGACACACTGTCCTGACTGTCTGAACTCCAGGCTCTCAACTTCTGCAGCAGTAGCCTGTCTGTCTGCCTGGAGATAAAAAACACTGTCTGGTGTCTTCCCAAACTAGTGTTGTGCTTGTGGATTAAAAGCTGCTGCTCAGAAATGGGGATGATGCTGGGTGTGAGCAGAAGAGTCTTAACGTGGCCCACATCTGATCAAACAGGCTCTCTGTAACCTTGTGAAAGTTGCTAAATGAATTATGCTTACCTGAAGTGAACAGCGAACCCTTTCCTCACGCAAACATTCCAGGCTGAGTGTTGGGTTTCATAAGGGTTTCTGAGTATTAGTTTTTTAAGATCCTGTTAGGTACTTTCAGTTATTATTTCCCTGAGAGCAGTTAGGTTCACTTGAAGATCAAACTTGCTGTGTGTGGCTATCAGAAATAATGCTGGGAGGATGGAAGGCACAGCCATTAAACTGAAAGACTTGAATTTGTTTACTCCTATTAATAAAATCATTGCTGAATTAAACTATTTATATTGCTGCAGCTAATTTAGTTAACAAGACAAATTTGTTCAGCCTCATCAATGCCGTGTTCAGAAGCCTGCTAGTGATTAATCATAGTTCTTTTTTTTTTCCCCACAGCATTCATAAACATTCTCTGAGACTGCACAGACTCAATATAATTGTTATTTTTTTTGTTGTTTCTCTTTCAGAGGTGCCATGAAACGGGTGGTGAAAGCCATGAACCGGGTGGACCAAAGGAAGCACGAGAAGTTTGCCAACCAGTTTAATTATGCACTGAATTAAATTGTTGATCATCTTTGCCCGTGAGCGCAACTGCAAAAAAACCTCGATCAAAAATATTTGTATTTATACTAAAATACTGCGCAAGGCACATTTTTACAGGGGTCGTTTTAAAATTGTTTCCAAATTTAACTTATTTGATAATGAACATTAATTTTGGCCAAGATGGGGTGGTACAGAGTGGAATGCATTCAACAAGTTGATAATTATTTGAAATGTACATGAAAGGGAGATGTTTTGTGATTTGTACATACTCTGGGTAAAATCTTCAGGTTTGGGGGTTTGGTTTTTTTCCCTTCTTAAGGGACTCCTGTAATTTATACTTCCTTTTGCCAGCACGTATGTTTAATTTGCCCCCACTTTCATGCCTTGCTGTCAAAAAAGCATGAAGTGAAAGTGTGAAGTTTAAAAAGGCAGCGGGATCCAGTGTGGGTTGTAGTTCTTGGCTGGGTCCTTAACCAGACCTCCCAAACTTGCTTTGCTGGCTCTAGTTGTGTCTTAAGGAGAATGAATGAAACATTGACCAGCTGTGCTCTTGCAAGATTTCATACAGCTTTGTGGGTGAAGGAAATCCAGAGAACCAGGGGGACAGTGTTTGAAAATCAATTTCAAAGTGAACTGCAAGTTCTCAATGAAATACTGAATACAAAATGGAATGGATTCTGTAGCTCTACCTTAGTCACTCACCTGTTGGAGGTGTTTCTTCATGCAGACTATAAGAATTAAAAATGAGAAAAATTTAACAACTCAGTGTAGTTTCTGGCCACCTCAGACAAAAGCTAATTTGCAGTTCTGCCAAATACCTTCTGACTTGCACAAGTATTGCTTATAAAGCAATTAATGCTGAATCTTAGTAGTTTATCTTGCAAGAGCTCTGCAGTTTGGAAGACATTTTGTTCTTTAGCACAGACTGATGTACTTCTGAACTACTGAAAATAATAAAAAGCCAGAATTTCAAATATTATCTACTGCACTGGAAAGCAAAGCCACTTCTGCTATGAATCTTGCTAATGCAGCAGTGAAGACTTCAGGTGAAAATGTAGGTAAGGACAAACCAAGTTCATCATCAAGTCACTTGAATCAGCTTCTGAATTGATCTGATTTCTTATTAAGGACAAAGTCACACAGGAAAAAAAAAGACCACACAAAACCACCACCAACAAAATCCCACACATTTGAGTATAATCTTGGTCATTGGATACTTCGATCCCCAGACAGTCCAAAAGAAACTACCACTTTGTGATTAACATTCCAAAGAGCCACAGGGGTCATTGTGCCACTATTCCAGAGATTCTGGAGCCTGCACAGGCTGAAGGTGTTCAGTTATAAATGCTGTTTTCTCTGCTCCCTGCAACAAGAGTGGGGAGTTTGTATTTTGTAGTGACACTTAACCCTTCTTAGCAGGATAAAGCAACAAATATCAGCACTAGAAAGTTGCCAGCAAAGAGTTGATGCACTTTAACCCAAGGAGTTCCCATTTGGGGCCTTTCATAAAAACCCCAGGGACTGAGGTTGGAAATAGAAGTGGTAGAAGTCTGAGGGGGTAAAAAAGAAAGAAGCATGGTTAGTAAGTAATGCTGTGTTATGAGCAACCTGACCAAGTGGAAGGTGTCCCTGCCCACGTCAGGGGGTTGGAACGAGATGATCTTTAAGGTCCCTTCCAACCCAAATCAGTCTGTGATTTTATGATGCTACTCAGTCATGTCAGTTCTAGAATTGTGAGCTAAAACTTCCTCTCTGGAGTCAGCTGTCCAATCTGCCAGTTAAACCTGTTCCTATCGTGTCACTCTGTGCTTTCCACCTTTCCACCATGCATGAAGGAAAGGTGTTTTCCTCGAGTGCCTCTTCCATGCAGAAAGAGAATCTGCAGAATTAAGGTGGGGTTTTTTTTTTGTTTGTTTGTTTTTTTATTGTGAGAACTTCCCTTGTCAGGTAGGGAATATACTCAGTTGGATACAAACTTTTTTCTCCCTCTTTCTGCCTTGAAGCAAGACAAACCATTGACCCTTCACAGGAGAATGTGTTGATCACACATCCCCTGTAGCACTGCCTTTTTCTTAGCCTGGCCTCTTACCAGCAGGTATCTTCCTCTGGTGTGGTGTTTGACAAACCCTTCCCCTCCTATGTTAATTATTGCCTCTTTTAATCCAGTTGTTTGTCTGCAAGAGCAACTCAGCACACACAACAGGTCTTGAATTTGTCACTTAAGCATTCTTATTCGAACTGGTCAGACATAATTCACAGGGTTTGGGGGACCTTTCTCCTCTTCCTGGGTGTAGCTGGAGGGAAGAAAAAAAGGCATCAATCTCCAAAGATCCAGTTTACCTTCACTAAATAGAAATCCTTTAAAGTTCAAAGCAGAACAATCTACTTTTCAGATACATGACACTTCTTGTGTGTCACTTAACAGCAGTTTACAGATTTGAGGTCTCTGGGCTCTCTAGTTCTGCGAACGTCTTAATTGCTCAACTGATTGTGCAGCATTTCTGCTGGGGCTTTTCTATTCCTGTGCTCAGGAATAAATGCAAGTATCATTCACATAATCTCTGTGTGTGTTTTTGTCTTTTTAACTCGGACATCTTTGCAATTGTACTTCTGCCCACTGGGGATGCTGTGTGTGATTCCCAGGTACCTGAACACCTTGGGGTGATTTGGCCCTTGGAGTGTTGTTAAGGTGAACATTAGTAATGCAGGTTGAACACTGTGTGTCCAAAGGGATTTGTGAGCTGTGCTGATGCATCTAAGTCATCCTTTTTTTAACTAGGGCTGTTTCAGTGGTAAAACAGGAAGCGAAAGCAAAGACTTCTCCGTGGTTATTCTCTTACCTGAGAGTAGGGCTGCAGCTGGAAAGTGAAAGGCTGGAAGGAAAAATGCTGTGGCATGTATGGGTTTGGTGCTGTTTAAGGTTGGGATGAAGGATCTGGTCCTCCAATACAAAGTACTTCGTGGCATAAGTGAGCTTGGTATGGAGCTTCTGAAAAAAAGCAATCCTTCAGCACATGCCCTCTGAGGTTACAGGGATGAGGGGTCCATGCTCATCTTTTGTATGATACCTTGTGATTTCATTTTCTCTAAAATTTCTACTAGAAAACTGGAACCCTTGGAAATTCTTGGAAATTATGTTTAAAGGATTTATCTGGGGCTTTGGGGTTGTGCTTTTTGTGGGGTTTGTTGGGAGTTTTGTAAGCAAAACAGACATGGGATTTGTAAGCGGTTCCGCGTGGACGGTGGATCACACCACGTAGAACAGTTTGCATGTTGGGGAAAGCATCAGTGAGTCAAAGCAGACATTACTGAAAGAAAAAACATCTTACTTCTTGAAAAACAAAAAATTAACCTGTTCCGTTTAAAGTGGCTGTGGAAATGGACAGTAAGGGTGTTCCTGGTTACAAGGAACCCCCAGTCAGAAGCAAGAAGTATTGAATCTCAGGAGCCAGCCAGGAAAAACCCAGCTCAGCAGGTATCACAGCAGTTCAGCAGATGCAGATGAGCCATCTGGTGGTCTCTCACACTCTGTGAATGCCTGGCTGTGGTGCAACTGTGTGTGGAGCTGACCCTGTGCTATTAAACACATTAATGCCTTTAATCACGGAGGTGATACAAGTGTCTCTGTAGGTGATGCATCGTAAAAGGTAAGGACATCTAGATGTTACAGCAGTACTTAAGTGATGAAAATCAGGTGTTTAAAACCTTTTGGGATGCCTCCCACCCCCCAAACACACACCTTTAACAAAGTCACTGATTTTAAACAGGCATTGGAAGTCATAACGCACCCAACAGCTCTCCTGCTGGAGCACACGTTCAGGAGGTGGAGTTCAGGTCCCTTCTGGGCCTCAGGGGTGACAAGTACTGTCTCAGGGAGCAGCCCAAGCCACTAGCAATTTAAATGGAAAGGAGGTGGTAGGAGACATGTCACATCACCTGTTTTCACGTGGGAACTAAAACTGAGCCACAGTGGAACTAAAAATGCTTCATGTAGGAAACTAGAGAAAGGATAACAGAGCCTTGCAGATGAGAGTCCTCACACTGAGCCAGGGAGGGCTGGATTTGAATCCTCATTTCCTTGACACCTACCCTTAAAAACACCTTCATGGATTCAGGAGAGAGCTCCCTCATTGATACTCTCACCAGCTAAATCATTCCTCAGGACCTCTTGGACACCAAAGCCTGAGAGAAGGGTGTTATTTTGGTAATTACTGGAGAGCAATTTCTCTATATGTCTGTTCTGGCATGCACTGGGACAGCTACATTTAAATATACCCAAAATAATTAACAGCATCCTGCTCCTGGGTGAAAATAACACTTGAATTTGCATCCACAAACATGACAGTTCTGCTCCAAGCAGTGCCCAAGGAAAATTCCACAGTGCTAGGAGTGCAGAGGAAAGTTAGTCCACACCAAGTTGAGAGGAAAAACAGAGTAGAGACTCAAGGCATCAGGGAGAGGCAAATCAGGAGCCGATGGTTAAAACAGGAAGAGACAATGGCCTTCCTGACAAGGCACCATCACACACACCCAAACAAAACCCCTCAATCTTGGTAACAGGAACAGAGTCAGACACCAGTCACAGTTACCTGAAGGTCCACCAAGGTAAAAGGCAGGTCTGGAGCCAGGTCAGCAGTGGGAAATCAGGGCGAGGGTCAGTCAGCTACACAGCCAAGCACAGAACGAGCACCACAGCTCGGGAAAGAGACCCCACCTAAATGCAGCTCCCCTGCAACCAGCTGGAGGGTTCGAGGTGGAGCCCCAGGTAGGTCTCTCTCCCAGCTTAGCTGGTGCTGTGGAGCCAAATTTCTGCAGCTGTGCCACATCAGTGCAGAGCTCAGACACCTGCCAGGGTGTGGGGTGGGGAGACCAAGGAGGGTTACACAGAAGGGAATGTGAAAGGTGGTGAAGGAATGTCGAGCCTGCTGGTACATTCAGAGCCATAGGAGCATCCCTCTTAATGGGTGGGGCGATGATCCTGTTACAAAATTCTCCAAGAGAAATTGGAGGTATTAAGAAAGAGGGTGGGAAAGGCCTCAGAGCAGCAGCCTCAGATCAAGACCAGTGTGGGCTCTCCCCATCCAGCAGCCCTGGTGACCTGGGAGAGGTGCTAAGCATCCCAAAACTTGACATATCCCCTGGAAAATACATGTGGGTGAGAGCTGGGTCTGCCTGGCAGCCGGACAAATTGTGACCCATGGGACAAAGTTATTGTCCTTCCAGCTGTGGGAGTGGGATGCTGTCCCTGAAGGAAAAGCAGAGAG